TTCGGGTTCTTGTGTTCGACCCGTGCCGTGTGCCAAGTTTTCTTGATTGCCTTCATGAAGTTTTCCACTAGGCCGTTGGCCTCAGGGTCCTCTGGCGTCGTTTTCTGATGCTTGAAGCCAGCCCAGCGGGCGTAGGCGGCGAACTCATGGCCATTGAAAGGCGGTCCTCCGTCCGTTCTCACCGTTTCTGGCATGCCGTGCGTGGCGAAGATCTTGTCGATTAGGGGGATGGCTGCTTGTCCGCTGGTGCTGCTGGTGATCTCCACTTCTGGGAATCTGCTGTAGTCGTCTATGACCACTAGAAGGTACTCTCCATTGCTCAGCGGGCCCCAGAAGTCCGCCGACACTTTCTGCCATGGCCTTTCAGGTAATGCGCTGGGGCAGAGTGGGTCTCTGGTGGGCTTGTAGACTGTGGCCTGACAGGCAATGCAGCCAGACACCTTTTCCTCCATGAGTGTGTCCATACCCGGGAACCACACGCAAGCCCGCAGGAGCTTCTTTGATTTTTCCACACCTTGGTGGCCCTCGTGCGCCAGTTCGACGGCTCTGGTGCGGAGGTTCCCCATGCCCGGTTCAGGCTCAGTCTTCGGGATGAAGATCCGGTCGCCTCGCAGCACTACTCCTTGTGTGTAGGTAAGCTCCGGAAAGATCTGCCTGAACCGTGCTAGCTCTGCGTCTTTGCTCAGGTACCCCTGTTTGATGCTCTTGATAAGTGCCTGGCTCTGCTAGTCTCGTGCCGTGGCATCCTGTACCATTTCTTTGGTGAGTGCGTCTGGTAGGTCGTTGCAGATGACGGCGTTCACGTGCACTTCATCGTCGTGCTCGACCAGCATCTTGTCTAGTTGTTGGCTGTCGTACGTGACGAGGGGTCTGGGGTGTCTTGAGGCGTAATCGCATGGGTTATGCTTGCCTGGAAGGTGCGTCATGCGGTACTGAAACTCCTGGGTCTTGAGTTTGTGCCTTTGTACGCGCGCGTTGCCGCGACAGCTTCCGTTGAAGACGCCTAGCAGAGGCTTGTGGTCGGTCATGGTCTCAAACTTGATACCCAGTAGGTATTGGCGGTGAGCTTGCATGCCCCAGGCCTGTGCTAGCGACTCTTTTTCGAACTGGCTGTAGTTCTTCTCACACGGCGTGAGGCTTCGACTGGCGTGATCCACTGGGATCCATGTGCCGTCTCGCGCGACCTGGAAGAGGCTGGCGGCTATGCCCTCCGGGCCCGCGTCTGCCACCAGCTTCGTCTGAAGTTTCGGATCGAAGGGTCTCAGTGCGTCTTCACTGGTCATGGCCCTCATGACGTCCTGATAGGCCCTTTCTTGTTCTTCGCCCCAGACGAATCTTGCGTTCTTGTGGGTGAGGACCCGCAGGGGATGTGTCATCTGCGCGTAGGCTTGTTCGGACCGTATCATGAACTTAGCGTTATACTGGCACGCCTGAAGAAAGCTTTTGACATCGTCTGCGTCTTGCGGCCGGCCTGCCGCTCTCACCGCGTCTAGTTTCCGCGGATCGGCCGACATGCCAGAGGCGGAGAAGATCCAGCCGAACCATGACACGGACGTCTTGCCCAGGTTGCATTTCTCCCTGCGAAGTGTGAGACCCTGCTCCTCGAGACGTGTTAAGCACGCGTCCAGGTTTTCGGCATGTTCTTTAGGCGTTCGTCCCCAGATCAGGATGTTGTCGTGAATGGACACACATCCATTCAGTCCTTTCAGCGCCGACGCGATGATGGTGTGGAACATGTCGGAGGCTGGTGACGCACCGAAGAAGAGAACCTTAAAACGATGAAGGCCTTCGTGTGTGCGAAAGGTGCTGATGGGTCTTGACTCTCGAGCCAGGCCGATCTGGTGAAATCCATGGTTCATATCTAGTTCTGAAAACCTCACCGCTCCAGCCAGCATGTGCCGCATTTCCTGCACTGTGGTCACGTGTCGTGGGGTTCGTTGGATCGCCTTGTTTGCCTCTCTCATGTCCACGTTCATTCTGATCTGTCCTGGTTCCTTCTTCTCCGTGATGACCACGTTGGATATCCAGGTGCACTCCTCGTGTGGTCCCACGTCCTCTATCTTGCCTTCTTCTCGGAGCTCCTTCAGGTGTGCGCTGAGTCGCTCCTGATATGCCAGCGGTATCGGCCGGTACGGGGCGGCGACTGGCGCGACGGAGCTGTCCACATTGAGTTTGACCTCCACGCCCTTGAGTAGCCCAACTCCTTGGAACGCTCTGGGATGCTTCTCCACGATTTTCTGGATGGACTCCTGCTCTTCTTTCGAAACATCTTGATTTTCGGTTCGGCTTGCTTTGACGGCTATGCCCGAAGCTTCGAGAGAGTCAACGATGCCACCTACAGTGTCCGCTTGGTGGGCCAGAGAACCGTTGGCGTCAATCTTCAAGATGCCCAGTGCTTTCGCATCGGCATCCCCTAGGAGCGGCTCCGCCAGCTGGCTGTTGATGACGTACACGACGGCCTGGTGTCGTGCTCCGTTGCGGTTCTCGAGCGTTGCGCTGAGCTTTCCAGCGACTTGCAAAAGTGAGTTTGTGCCGTATGGTCGCAGCTTTACTGATGAGTGCTCGAGCTTGCCCAGGGATTCACTGTAGATGTGGGCTGGCAGCAGCGTCTTGTTGCAGCCTGAGTCCACATAAAACGAAATCATTGTTCCGTTGATCTTCACGCGGGCGAGATTCGCGTGCGTCTTGCCGAGCTGTGCCACGTCCATGATGCGTCCCACTCCATCTTCGCTCCCGTAGTGGTAGTCACCCTCCTCGGTCGTGAACCTCACTCTCGACCTGGTGCAGTTTTCCGCTCCGACGAAATGGCCCTTTTCGCCGCAAAGGACGCAGGTTTTCCCTCTTGCTGGACACCGTCCGGGCGGGTGCGGCCGGTAGTGTGGGGGGCAGTTGCGGCAGTGCGGACCCTTGCCGGTGTTCCCCTTCTCGGTCCTATCCGTTGTTTTGTTTGGAGCCTTTCCACCAGCAGAGCTGTAGCGGCCCTTTGTTACCCTGGCCACTATTTCCTCCACCTCGTCTTCGCTGTAGAGCTTGCGCACCTGGTCGCCTGCTTCCGCCTTGATCGCAGTGCTCGATTTCCTCGACTGCTCATACCCTAGCGCAGCTTTGACGAGTGCTTGTAGATCCAGGTCTTTGGCGAGCGCTTCTTGACGTAACCTGTCGTCGGAGGTGCCGAATATGAACGCGTCTTTCTGAGCCCTTTCTCTGGTGTACGGGTACGCGTCCAGCTGACATTGTGTCGAGAGAACGTCCAGTTCGTTCATAAATTCCATCACTGTCTTGTCACCCTGTCGGGCGTGCATCAGTCGGAACATGGTCATCGACAGGTTGACATGAGTTCCGCAGTGCGCCCTTATCCTCGCCAAAGCCGAGCCGTATGTGGGAGGGGGCTTCGTTTCCACGTCCACTCCTGCTGCCTTGGCAAGGCGGCGGAGCTCTCGGCCTCCCCAGAGCAGCATCAGGTTGAGTTTCTGGGTGTCGTCTTTGATGCCGAGGGACCTGGTGAGCAGGCTCGTCTCCTCCAGCCACTCTTCGAATGTATCTAGGTAGGTGGCTGGCTCATTGCCGAGGTGGCAAGGCTTTCCTGCAGTCGCGAGGCTGGGTTCTATTCCCTCTGCCATCCTCGTCGCCAGTGTAAAAAAGCCTGGAGTGCTTCCTTCTGTCTTAGTCTTTATTCAGTCAGACTGCCGATCTTGAGGCCAACACAACCCTGTAAGCCGAGAGATGCTGCGCATTAGACAGAGCGAATCACAGTGCCAATCGTTACATCTTTACAGTCAGCATCTGTTCAAAAGCTGCCCTAAGCATGTAAAGCTCCACTGGCATGCTCAAGCATGGTCACAGTCAGTTCTCACTTCTCAGTTGAACCTCCAATGGAAACCCATCACAAAGTAGAGATCAGGGCGCCTCTCACACTGCAGCACACTCAACAACTGAGGCACCATCTCATCACTTGCAGGTGGTTCTTGCCAGGAGCAATGCCAGCCACGCACATCAGGTGATAACAGCAGTGTACAACTGCAATCTACAAGCATCCATGTTCTTTCTGGTTTTCTCCTGTTGAGATCCACTGCCATGCATGAACTTGATGGGCTTTTGTTGTGCTCCTCCCATGTGCAGACAGGTTTCTGCTGAAACAAAGCAAAGCAAATGTGATTAATAATGGCCCTGTTTCACCATCCAGACACTGTGCGCACTGGTAGCTACGGCATACCATAGCATCACTCAAATGACGTTGCATGTGATCTCTTAGTTTATGATCAATCGCGTTTGGAACAGAGTGAGAGGTTCTGAAAAACCGTACCAAGAACAGAGGTTTGAGTTCAAATACTGCTAGCATGCTGCTGGTGCTGGTACCGCAGCATGCTAGCGTTCTGGGATGCTGTCATAGCTTAGCGTCACAGTGAAGTTTGTTGACACTGCCATGGAAACCCAATGCTCTGACACACGCAGCGCGCACTGCAAGTGCGTGCTCTGCCGTGAAACACCACCCATGAACGTTGGTTGCATGACCAGGATGGAGCAGTGTGGCAGACAGTGATTTTAATTTTAATTGCACTTCCTAGAGATTAAAATGTTGTTGGTGAAATTGCTATTCATTATTCCTATTACCATTGCCTAAATTTCACATTTCAAAACAGCATCAGCATTGACATGTTATATAAAATAAGGTTTAGACTTCAGGTGGTCCCGGGTTCAGCTATAAAGTAAAACAAGGGCAAAAAATTGTCAAAAAAAATATTTAAAAAAATACCTGCCTTCATCAACACCTCATCTAATCTAACCTCATCCTCATCTAACAAGGCCCTAAAAGCAAAAACCGTTTGAATAACAATGTAATATTTTGCAACCGCTGCACCATTACTGTCACGTACGCTATCCCTAGATTGGTTGCTGGTAAGTAGTGGTTGTCGTCATCAACTCGTCATGCAGCAGCTGATTGGGATGGGCGGGGCCTATTTTTATCCAGGCGATAGAGAGAGCCGTCAAATAGATACCCTAAAGAGTGTCTGAAATTTGGTGGTAATGTGTGGTAGCATCCTTACTTTGCTATTGAAGAACTTTGTAATTCTGATGCTGTTTAATGATTTGAATTGCACGCAGGCTACATGCCATTTTTTGACCGCCATTTTCCATTCCGCCATTGCCATTTTCTGACCTAAAATGAATTGGACTTGAAATTTGCAGATAACATGTCAGCAAGATACCCAATAGGTCACTGGATATGCCAAATTTAACAGCATTACTCACCACTACTTTTATGCTGTCTGAAAAATTTAAGGGGTTACATCAAACCCCCTGGCCTGGTAAGGGTTAAAACTAAAAAATGGCATTTGGCATAGGTACCATCATCATTGGGTACCATATTCAGCATTATCCCTGCCTTCAGTTGACCCTGAGAAGTGAGAACTGCAGGAATTCACAAAATAAAAAAATCAAAGGAATTGGAATGATTAAGGAACACCCTTTTTAGGCTTGAGAAGTGAGACAATTACACATGAATGCTTATAATGTTTCTGTGTGAAATTACTACACTGGCACCAACACTGCCAACAATTGAATTCAAGGTACATTGTATGCTGCTCATGTTTCAGCACAGTCTTCAGGATTTTATGGTCATAGGTGCTGGCTGTTGGTAGTGCATTTCCTTCTTGCAGGTTTCCTGTGAAGCTATGCCCCAAAGTGATGAAAAATATGGTAGTGAGGTTCCTCAAGATAGTGATAAGGATAAATGTGTGAAGAGTGAGCCACATGATTTAAAAACACCACCTGCTGAAAAGAAAACAGGAGCTGGTGATGACAAGAGGGCTTCAGATAACAGTGCAAAAGTTGACTATGGATATGACTTATATCCTGAAAGACAAGGTGGCAAGTACAAGCCCAGTGTCTGGGAACATTTCTTCCTACATGAGGGAGAGAATCTCAGTGACCAAATAACTTGTGAGAAAAATGTTTACAACTGTTTTAAGAAAAGTAAGTAAACTTTTTACAATATTACAATACAAGTAGCTAATGGCAGGTGCTGTTTACTATATGGCACTGGTATTCCAGTTAGCAAAGCAGGCTGTGGTTATCTTGGAATGTTTTGCGGTCACTTCCAGAGCAGTGGTGGTAAACTCGTAACTCGTAACTTCTTCTCGTAACTTCAAACTCGTAACTTGACCCAGACTTAAATAACGATGACTCGTTAACCTTTTTCGAGGTCGGCGACTTCGATAACGATAATTCAATAACCAAATCGGTTACATCGATAACGCGATAACGATAGCGATAACTTCAAAAAAGAAAAATAGAAGGGATTGAATATTTGAAGGAACTCAGCTTCTAAATGATACTTATTTCCTTAAATATTCCTTGAATAAGGAAAACATTCATCGAAAACTTTAATATCTTTGGGGACAGAGCTTGAAGGGCCAAAAGACGCTCCATATAACATTTTTCAGTGCTCAATCTACAAAACTGCTGTTGAAGGTGAACTATTCCCTTTAATACGTTCACGTCGTATTTGATGAAGTTATCGTTATCGATTGACCGAAACTGGGACTTCGATAACGCTACTTCGATAACAATAATGAATAACGATAAGCTTGAAAGAACGGTGTCGTCGATAACGACTTCGATAATCGCTATCGATGGGAGTTCTCGAAGTAATCACCCGCCACTGTTCCCAATGCATAATTTATGCCTAATACCTACATGTCACACTTTTCCAGGTCATGGAGTCAAGCTAATGCTAGCTGCTTTGAAAGCTTCGGGCTGGTGAGTACTTTGAGTGTAGAGTAGGTTCTTGCTGGCCGCTGATTCTGACACCCTCACCTTTTCTATTTCCTGCACCTTTTCTATTTCTAATAGTAAGCTGTTGTTGCCAGAGTTATCAATTTTATATTTACTGAGGCATTAACGTCGCCACTGAGGGAGGGGGGGGGGGTTTGAGTCGAAAAACGCCAGAATCTTCATGACTTGTCTCCAGTCTCGGGCATGCCACTTTTTTTATTTGATCCATTTCTAGTTAGATTTATTTAATGTTGTTGAGCGCTTGTGCGAGGAACATTAGTAAAAGCAGTTTTAGTATCATATGACCTTTCCTCGTAAAATATAAATTAGCAAAAAGGATATATTGATATTGATATTTCGATCACAGATCTTCGTCGGAATTGTTAACAAAAGACGAACAAAAGTCTTTTGTTAACAATTCCGACGAAGATCTGTGATCGAAATATCAATATCAATATATCCTTTTTGCTAATTTATATTTTACGAGGAAAGGTCATATGATACTAAAACTGCTAGTTAGATTTAGCTGAATTTTATACTTGGGTTTGACCGGTCTGGTACGCTGACACGAAATTATAATGCCAAGACCTAGCTCGAAAATTCCGGGGTTGGGCCGGGATCTTTTTGAACTGTGGTCAAATGTCTGTGACATGTTCAAGTGCCGTTAAAGTGACCTAGGGCTGTTGAGGGCCGCTCCTAGGCTCATTAGCCGCCAGTGCGTTCAATGCCATGCCGCGCGACATTAGGGAGACCCGCATATCGGCGTTCAGAAGGACCGTCAAGAAGTACGTACTTGTGCACGGGGCGGCGGTGAACGCACATATATGTAGGGGATGAGAATGGCGTCGTCACACAACCTATCTCAAATATCTAGTCCGATGCAACTTTTTGGTACGATATTCATGTTTAGCACCAACAATAAACTAGGGAGCGGGTATTTTCGTTTCGGATCTATTATACGTCTTTTTGTTGACCAAGGTTCCTTGAAATGTTACTTGTTCGTTAGCGCAAAAGCACGAATGATTCCACGTGCGTTTTCCCCTAAAATGTTTATACAATAGGTTATAATATAGGTTATAATATGTCGATTTCGATAGGGCCCACTTATAGGGCCCTATGCAGAGGAGCTTTTATTGTGATCTTAGCACGTCCACTTTTGTTTTACATGTTTTAAGTGTCTTTTAATTTACCCATATCGTGTCTTTTACCGGTTAAGTGTCTTTTGCCCATATTGTTGACGCGAGCACATGAAAAACCAGTGATTGGCTGGATGAGTTTTCCATATATTCTGATTCTGATTCTGATCAGAAGTCCCACTGAACTCTAAGAAGGGATCCCACGCTAGCTTCCGACCTCCGAAGGACCCAAACCGACCTCTGAGGGCCATCAGCCCGGCGCTTGTGAAACTGCGGTCTTTCATTGCCGATTCTGAAGGCTCAGGCGTAGATCTTTGGTGGGCCTCTGGTGGATCTTTGGTATAGAGGCCACTTGGAAAGTCCTTCTTAGGGCCTCCTCCGGGCTCAACGGCCTCCTACTGGCTTCTGAGGGTCCCATCGGTGCAAAAAATCACAATTATACATTTTTTCAAATCAATTTTCAGTACGTATTTGAAATCGTACACCAATATAAATAGCACCATCGTGTTCCTGAGCTCAAATTGCATCCAAAAAACACCTTTTATGTTGAAAAATTGAAACTTCAAAATTTGACCTTTTTGACCTGAAAGTGACCTGACCTAAGCTAAATTCAACTCAAAATGACCTCGAATGACACAAACAACATCAAATTCGAAATCTATGGCCTAAATGAACCATTAAACATGTGTCACGTGACCAACGCATGATATAATATTTCCGTGACCTGTGATGACCTGATCCTGACCTGAAAATCAAAGTACAAGTTCGGTACCCTCAGGGTATCTAGAGCATCTGTTCATGAGGGTATAAACCAAAAGTTAGCCTGATCGGACTTGTCAGCCGGCGGTCAGAGTCTAAATTGTGAACAAGCGAAAATGCTGATAATTTTTACTTTGACCTGACCTGTGACGTCATCGGTGACGTTGAGGTCAATGAAAATAGGTTTTGCTCGACAGTTTTTCCAGGGCTATCAGACGCCGTTTGAATTTTGACGATCGGCCAGTAGTTTCGAAGATGGGGGGGGGGGCTCTGGAGAGCCCCCCCCCAGTCACTCGCGTCGTGGAAAATACCCCAGCCATGCGCGGGTTAAGCCTAGTGTGCCCCTCCCCCCGCTTGGCTGCGCCCCTGACCAGAACATAACCTTAACTGGCCTTAATTTTCGCCTAACCCACACCATTCATTTTTAAATGTAAAATTGGCCACAAAACATGAATCACACTACCTTAGTATAGTGTGATTCATATTTTGACCCTTAGTCACTTGTCCTCTGTGAGCTAACCTGGTATCAGTGACCTCATTTTGGCAACATTTTGGAAATTTTGAAATAGCATAATTTGACCTCAGTCAGGCAACCAACCCTATATCGATGGTTTTCGATAGTATGCTTTTTACTTGATGTTATAACGCATTTCTTAGAAGGCCCGTAAACGATAAAAATGCGGCCTTTGACCTGACCTGTGACGTCATCGGCTGCACCTAGATCAATGAAAATTGGTTAAATGGTAGTTCCCCGTTGGGGCTATCGAACGCCGTTCGAATGTTAACTTTCCGAACTCATAAGGTGAGCAAAACGCCCCCCCCCCTCCTCCAACGGGTGGCTGTGTCCGGGAATAGCCCAACGGGATGCATTAAATTGACCCGTCTGGTTGGCTGTTGGTTTCATTAATTGTTACAAATTGTTCTTATTTTGGTTCGTTATAACGGTTTAGGCCCATGGCCCCATCGTCAATTGTCTTAAGTATGTACCTACAGCTAATCGCTTTTGTATTCTGTCCGCATTTTAAAGGTAGTGTGCCACCTTTGAAAGATTTCCCATTTTATTTTTCCTAGGATAAGAAGCTTCTGTTTTTACCTAATATCGCAAAAAAATCAAAAATGGGCCTGGAATAGTGCCTTTTTCGCCTAAAAGTTTTTCGGTTTTTAGATATGTATAACAACTGTAGTGGGCTCACCTGCAAACAGGCGTCGGGCAACAATCGCGAATGCGGCGCACTTGTGACAATAAGCAAAGGTCATTATAGTGTTACGACCATACGACGTACGAGAATGAGTTATCAGCTGTCTAATCGTAGACAACACAATGTCGAGCCTTAAACTGTAAGCCCGTATTGGTATTGTTTCTTTTATTTGGCTGTCGAACATTATTTATGGTTTGAAATATGATTTTATGTAAAATAATTGATATGAAAAAGCCGTCTTATAAGTTATGACCCCATTTCACCACACGCAAGTGGCAGAAATGACAATGATCAGCTGACGCATTTTTCTTGGCCGAAGTCAGAGCGCGCGGCCCGACGCACCACGCGTATTTGGAAATTCCGACCTCGACGAGCATCAGAAGCCACCTAACAGGCGTGTTCGAAACCGCAGGAGATGATGATGAACGGGTTTATCGAAACTTGATTGGATGAGCATATCGGTAATAGCGATTTCAGTGTGTGCATTTATTGTTCATAGTGGTGTGAAATGTGGTTGGGGTACGACCGACAACCCGTCGGGGCGAATTTCGCACTGGGGTACTCAAAATTTGAAGAATTTAAGACGTTTCCATGAGTTTTGAAGGTATGGATAAGTTCTAAAAATCCGGTTCTCCTTATCTGGGCCATTAACTCCATACGGTCCAGGAAAGCTGGCACACTACCTTTAATACTCTGTCCGCGTTTACCGCATCTGTCCGCGTAATAACCGGATGTTCACCGTCGTGAGAAAATAGCCTAAGCAAATGAACTTATTTCGCAAGGCGATCTCTGTTCAGTTTAACAATTAGCTACAGACCAGTACGAATAAGCCACACATTTGGAACGTGGTTTGTTTTCGGCCTGAATGAGAAACCTTTTCCGAAATATACTTTATATGCTAAAGCACTTGGCCCCTGATCGAGCTAGAGCTTCGCGGAAAAAACGAGCGTGTTGCCCGTGACGAGAGGAAGCCGATGATACCCAATTTTAAGGTCCCAGGTCATTGGTTGACCTTCCAGGTCAGGTCAATGACCCAAGGTCGGGAAAAACGGGACCTGTGTTATAAAGTCGTAAAGTGTGACTGCTAAGGGTTTTTTTTCGGAGTGCTGATCACGAATATCGTGTTAGTTTTGATCACAGATGATGTCTTTAAGCATTTATACCAGGTCGGGTCAGGTCAAGTCAGGTCAACCAGTAGGCGTCGTGACGGGTATTCGTATTACGTGTCAACCGCCTCTGACAGCTTCGTAACATGTTACGAAGGCACCAAAACCACTTCGTAAATGTTCAAATGGTTGCTAAATTCGAATTCAGCTCCAAAAACTAGCCTAGAAACATGTAAAACTCGAAAAAGTGAACCGAGGTCACCAAAGGTCAATGACCTGACCTGACCTTCAGGTGACCTTGGCACCCACCCTAATGCATGGGAGCAACATCAAATCACATGTTTGAACGTTTGAAACCACGAAAAGCTTGCAAACGCGCGGCTAATGCGAGCCGACATACGCGGAATCGCGATTCCGGCCAAACATGGTCTGGGAAAAGAGGTCACAGGTCAAAGTTCATTAGGGTCAGGGTCATAAAATTTTCAGGGTAGGTGTAAAATTGATCAATGTGAGGGTACTGAAAGTTTCGTCGCGATCGGCCGCTTTTTACGCGAGTTATTCGCGAAAACCATGGGGGGGGGGTCCATCCGACCTCCCTACACATGCGAGGGTTAAAGGTAGTGAGAAATGGGTTATAATTTTTGTATGCTATTTATTAATGCTGTTTATTCTAGTAGTTAGTCACCTTTTTGCTGTTCATTTTTCTTATCTCGGCTCTTCCCCAGCCCGGTGGACATGAGCAGAAATGTCTCTTGCGAGACATGCGAGCACATCGTCACAGGAGGGTACGACCCCTCAACAAACCAGGTAGGACCGTAGGGGTCCATATGTGCTCGTATTTACACAGTGTGCATAATTGCTTTGTCTAGGCTAATGCATGACTCAAATCAACAGCTGTAATAGTTACATGCTCGGCGCTTAATGTGCAATGTGGATCCAAAATAAGCATAACCAATCAGTATTATATGAGAAGCGCAAAAGTAAAATAAAGGCATACAATTCATGTTAGGGATCCCGACTGAAGTCGATTATTTGTGTGTTGGTGACCTTAAGCCCTAGTGTACAGACAAAAGAAACCAGACTGACCTCCAGATGATGTGACGACGATGCTGTAGTCGACGATGATGAGGAGAAGACGACGAAGAGAGGAAGTGGAGTGGAGCATGACCTAGCTGATCTGCTCAAAAAGGGCCCAAAATTTGCCCTAACCCAGTCGATTCGGGATCGAACCCTGACAGAGGTGGAAATTGGAGCAGAAAGAGGCGCGTTTGCACTACGATGGAAAATTGAATTCCAAAAGCGAGCGGCACGAGGGATGTATAGCTTAAGACAAGGCACCCTAAAACCGCGCTTCCCGGATGGTAACGCGTCCATGCCACCAGCCGCGTCTGGGGAGATCGAGAGAAAACTGTCGGCGCTGAAAAAGAAGTTGATGGTTATCTATCGCAATCACAGAGCCTCGGGGAAAAACCACACTACCCATCAGCGACACGCCATCAGCCAGTTCAGGAAGAACGACGACCTGGTTCTGAAACCATCGGACAAATGCAAAGGATTTGTACTGATGACGAAAGACGATTACATCAGCAAAGCCAACGCACATGTCTCAGAATATGAGCCGGTCCAAAGAAACCCGACACCCAAGCTCGAGGCTAAAACCAAGCGTCTCATTGGTGACACAATGGCCGACAAAGTGGAGAAAAGCATGATACAGGCATTGTTACCCCAATGCTCTCGCACGGCCGAGTTTTACGGTCTGCCCAAAAACCACAAGCCAACGGTCCCTCTGAGACCCATCATATCCGCATGCGGGGATCCGGTTGATAAACTCACCTGGCTGCTTGAGCGTGTGATCAACCAGCTGCTGCCATTCGTTCCGGCCCATCTCACGAGCACTGACGATTACCTCAAACGGCTTCACCACAACTTCCCAGACAAACTATCAGACGGGAGTATCATTTTTAGCGTGGACGTGACCAATCTATACGGGAACATTCCGGTAAATGAAGCGATCGAGACAGCCACTGAACTCCTAGAGAGGCATGCAGACAACATCTGTATGTTCGGTCTGACACTGACCGATGTTAAGACGCTTCTCTCTCACTGCCTTAACAACAATTACCTTCGATTCGGTGACAGGTACTACCGACAAACGAGGGGAATTGCGATGGGCAGCCGCGTCGCTCCTCCACTGGCGGTGGTATTCATGGGGAAGGTAGAAGAGCGTATTCTGAGCTCACCCCGCCTGCAACCCACCCTCTACCTCAGATACATCGATGACGTATTTGGAGTGTGGCCGCACGGAGCAGAGGAACTGGACGCGTACTTACAGTTCATCAACACCGTACACCCGTCGATCACATTCACAGCTGAGCGCTCAGATACGAACGGAGGACAGTTACCATTCTTAGACACTTTGGTCACAATCCACCCAGATGGCACCTACCAAACTGAGCTCTACTACAAACCCATGGCAGCCCCAATCATTATGCCATATGACTCTGCTCATCCCGCTCAGATGAAAAAGTCTGTGCTGAAGGCACAGCTGAAACGAGCGGTGCGTTTGTCATCTGACCCCGCCGCAAGGGACCGGAGTGTCGCCAAGGTGACAGATCTGTTCATCTCAAACGGTTACCCGCCGCGTCTGGTTCGTTCCTCTACGGCCCAGGTGATGTCGATACCTCGGGAAAGGCAGAACGAACAGAGCCGGGCGCGGCGGCGCCAAGATGACCGAACATTCATCTCACTGCCATTCATCGATGACTCGCTCGCTCACAAAATCCAGGGCACAGTCCGGGCGTCAGGGCTGGCATTCCAAGTGGCGTGGAAAAACGACAATAGCCTCAAAAAGAGCCTAGTGCGCTCCGCTCTGGAACCGCCCCCCTGCCCTGGAGGGGGTCGCAAATGCGCGACTTGTATGAGCGGTCTGGGTGGCAGGTGTCACACAAAAAATGTGGTCTATGAGATAGCCTGTGAGCTGTGTGAAAAAGTAAAGACGCGGAATATTTATATCAGAGAGACAAGACGAAGCGTGCGACTGAGATTTAACGAGCACCTCCGAGACGCGCGGCACAGAAACCCGGACACTCCCCTCGGCGACCACATGACTACCTGCCACCCAAACGAACAAACAGACATCACCAACTGCTTCCGCATCAACATCTTGACGGTATGCAAAGACGGCCCAAACAGGAAAATCGCAGAATCGCTATTTATTCGAGACCGCAGACCATCGCTGAACACCCAAACCACATCATGGCCGATATTATAACCGGCGGCTGAAGGAGTTGCCAGTCCGAACGGTGACCGACAGATGGCCTACCGAGACAGGTGGCGCTGCAGGTCACCTCGCGCGCCAACTGGTGTCATTTCAAACCTCCGTCTGGCGTCAGTTGGTGCCTCGCCGCGGCGACCGTCGGAGGTGGTCTTCCTCCCCCTCCTTACCTCTACCTCCCCTCTCATCACCTGAGGATGGCCTAGGGCCGAAAATTTGTGCACACTTCTCTTCGTCGTCCTCTCTTCGTCGTCTTCTCCTCATCATCGTCGACTACAGCATCGTCGTCACATCATCTGGAGGTCAGTCTGGTTTCTTTTGTCTTTACACTAGGGCTTAAGGTCACCAACACACAAATATTCAAGTTGAAACAATGCCCTACATCCAAGAGGCGTTCCGACAATTAAACATGAAGTCGATTATCTTCTATCTATCGAAAATGACCCGTTTCGTCGCACTGACTGCCTTTGGCGGGTGTGTCCCCTGCCGACATGGTATGTCCCTTCCATTGCAGATTGTTGTGTGCCAGAACGTGGCTCGAAAGGAGAACGTGGTACAAGGCATTCTTGTTCACGAGCTTATTCACATGTTCGACTTTTGTACCAAAAAGGTATGTTCACAGCTTTACCAAAAAGTAATGTTCAGTGTTCACATCGTCAATTTTAGTTGTATAGATATTGATATAGCATTATAAGTTTGAAACTGTTTTACACGCACAATTTTCATATATGTATGTAGTTTTCCCTCGAGGCATCTGCTAACTGTCTGGTAGGGAGCGGAACTTTGCTTTAAAATTGCTAAGATGTTAATGGATGCCGATGACTTGTTATCCGGGCGCCCTAGATAAAAACATTATCACTTTTCTATACCACGTTTTATTCGATAGCACGTGGATTTTTATCGGTTAACATATGATCTATACTTGTCGATTATCAGTCACATTTATATATTTATCTCTCTTCATCAGGTGAATTTCGCGAATCTGGAGCACTTGGCCTGCACGGAGATTCGTGCAGCGAACCTGACGCACTGCAGCTACATTAGCTCAATCATGCAAGGCGACTCCAGTCCCATCAACATCAAGCGGACACACCAGGTAGTGCCATTAGATTACAAACCTCGCTCATATGTAAAGCCTTTTGCGCTCTCCGCTCGATAGTGGGCGTATTTATTTCCCGCGCAATGGGCAGTTTTCATAATACTAATTGCAACGTCGATTTCAATGTAGAAAATAGAAATTATGTACCATAAAAATTGACAAAAAAGGTCTTAGAGGAATCAAGTTTTATCTTGGTGATAAAATGTCTTTCGTTTGTCATTTGCCCGCGTGAATAAAATAAATAAAACACAAGAGTTTTATTCTCAAGAGTTAAATTTTAAAGTTTAAAGAAAGTTTACGTTTTCGACCTCTAGAGTTCTCGTGAGTGTGTCTCAAAGTGATGACAACATTCAGTACTCTGGGCGAGTGCCGCTGTCGTCGAAGACGCTCTGTCGAATGTGCGGGTCACGTGTCGTCTTTCGGTTGGCAGGAGTGCGTGAAGAACAAGGCGGCCTGCTCACTGGTGGCGGCGCGCGGCATCAGCAAGCGGGAGGCAGTGCGCATCGTGGACCTCGTGTTTCCGCAGTGCTACGGCGACCTGGAGCCGATCGGCCGACGGGTGCGGCGCAACAGCGACGATATTCGCCGCGCGTACCTGGAGCGCCACAAGTACGGCTACGTATGACGGTTGCCGGCGGCGCCAGCGGCGGCGGCTCCCGGACCTCGCGACTGCCCCAGTTAACGCCACGGAGATGGGCCCGTGTTGCTGGCGCCACCGCTGCTGCAGACCCGGAACAGTAGGTCATTATTTGTTATTTTCCTTGACGTTTGATTGTTGGTAACAAATCGTGTACAATGATCACTTTCTGTGCATGGTGTTGAATATAAGATTCGCTTTTTAGGTCAGTCTGGTGTTATTTCGCATATCATTTGCGCGAAACGAAGCGCTATCATCATAGGCGTCGCCAGAGACTGGTTGGCAGGAGGAGGAGGGGGGGGGGGGGACAAAATCAGTTTTGGCGAAAACCTTGCCTTTTACAGTCGTTACTCACTCGTTTTGTACATGTATCATTAGACGCGCCATGGTGCGAGGAATGGGATGGCATTGGCGACAAGGTGTTTCCTCTAGCTATGACACGTAAACAATTATTTTTGGTAAAAACAACTGCGATATAATCGACTGACCTTACGTCTGTGTTAGCACTGACCAGGGTAGATATTTTTTAGTGAGGAGTGCACAGGTGGCCGACCCCTCTCACAAGGTGCAGCCGCTCATAATGCTCACCCAGAAAAGGTTGAAAGCGCTCCAGTTAACCCGCGCACCGACGGGGGGGGGGCGGATATCCGCCCCGCCGCGAAATTTGGCACGACTATTCTCTCATCAATTTTAAACATGGTGTGCAAGTCTGAACCTCCTAAATTTTAAGGTCAGGTCACCAGGTCACTTTGAATGACCCAACCTCAAGTCACTTTTTTGCAACTTTGTCACCATGCCAGAGCTACAGTAGATGTCGGAGGCCTTTGAAAGTCGCAGGATGTTATAAGGTCATTAATAGCTACAATTTGTATATCTCGGAATTTTGATATCGATGACCTTAGGTCAGGTCAATTTCTCGACCTCCCCATTATAAGTCAATGGGGGAAAAATCAACTCCTTGTTTTTACCACTAAAACGGGTCGGAATGGCCCAAATACCATACATGACTTAATATACGATCAACGTTCACTACCTTGAGGTCTGTTTTGCTGTTGGGCAGCTGTAAGGTCATGTGACGTCATCAAAGGTCACCAGCGGTTTTTTGCCTATAACTCCGTACACTACAGGAACAAGATACAGTCGCGCGAATGGTCTCATTGTGTTCAGCTCGTCAAGGCGCATCGAATGATATACATGATGACCTCGAGGTCACGTGACCTGAGGTCAACCGTTGACCTTGACCTTTCGAGGTCAACATATATACCATTCGATGCGGATTGACGAGAGGGTCACGATGATCCCCTTAGTTTGTTCCTATCTTGACTAGTTCGAAAGTTATTCGAGAAAAACTCCATAGCTAGCGCCGCCATTTTGACTTTTTTTACCCCTGTGACGTCATCTTTGACCTGACCTGAAAATGACCTTGGTAAAAATTGTAGATCTTGCCCGTGCGTATCCCGTGCCGTTTACCGCTTGTCGCTATCTTGCTTCGTTCTCGAGATCTCAGGGGGGGGGCGGTCATCCGCCCCCCCCCCGTCGGTTCTAAGTTGGCGCAGACCCCCGTCGGTGCGCGGGTTAATCGACTCAAGATTACTTTACTACTCAGGTTGGTTCACTAGGGAAATAAAGGCGCCGTAGCTACGTCACGGATTTGGTAGCAATCTGGTAGCAATTTTTGCAGACATCAATGGCGCACGTGTTGTTTGATCGTCGCCAATACTATTTTACTGCACTATTTTGTCATTTCACTGCAATGTATTGTACATTACATTTGAAAATTAAAATAAGGAAATATTCGTAACCCAGCAAGTCAGTTATTCTTTGAGGCAGCACTCTGTCAGCATTGAGCCTTCAGAATGTGTTATTTGATAGACTTTCCCACATTTCCTACTCTTGTGGAAAACTTTCTTAGTCATCAAAAATGTATGCACATATGAATAATTAGAACTTCATTTTCAAAGTTTTATAGAAATAAGATTTGACATGACATTATCATAAGGCTACCTGTCCATTTCATCCAACCAATTAAATATTCATCCAGCAGAAGGCAGGTACCTCTGACAAGGTACTGATATCCCTTATCTACACCAATATTTCAGGACAATGACAGAGAATGAGAAGCTATTAAAACTTCAGCATAGGAAAGGGAAGTTATGGCTTATGCATATTAAAAAACATCAGATAATGCTTTTGAACCATCTCATTCACCAGCACACATCAATCCGGCTCCTGGCTTCTGTCAAGGAAACATTCCAAAATAATGCATTATTTTATTTCATTGACCACCTTGCAAAAGACAAACAGCAAACACATCACCACCAAAAACAAAAATAGTCAACAGGTAGGTACCAGCTGATCTAGCCGTGCTGTGTCATGTGCCTTTGAAAAACTTGAGCAGTCAGGGTTGAATAAACACCCCAAACTTAGCCATTCATGCATGAACAAGTGCAAATTCTGGTCGAGCATTTTAATAAAAATGAAACTAACAGCATTGTAGGTTAGAATTATAAAAGACAATTACAAAAAAACAGCAGAGCTTACTCTACAAGGCATAACCATTAATTTTATAACTGACATCCAAATTCGCATCTCCGAAGTTTAACCCACCTACCAGCCACCTGCACATTTCTGCGCACATGTGCTGCGCAGTGTGCACAGTCACTACACATTACACAATTATGAGAATTAAAATAGTTTTAAACAATCATGCAAGTCAGGACTGGTATGCAGATTCACAAGTTCTCTCAACATCTTCAATTACCAACAATCAACAGCACCTTGTGATCTCAGTAACTCCGCAGATCCATCTTGTTTTCCATTTTCAGTTTTCAATTGAAATATAAGTTCCATCTGGGAGACACATGTTGCATCATTATGTTTAAACAATTATTATGCTTGAACTTTTGATTTTTTATGTGAACTTCACTTCAAAAGTTGATTCAATTTTAAAGTTGATGTAATTTGTATAATGCTACGATCACGGCGCACCAAATCACAGATAACTTGAAAATAATCAAGCAAAAGCCACATTCTTCAGCAAACTATGAGAGCTATCTGATCCATGCTGCGTTGAAATAATTGAAAATCGCCAAAATCAGTCAAAATATGACAATTAAATTAATATAAACTTCACAAAACTCTGATTTGTGAGGCAATGCGCAACAGAAATGCGAGGGAATATGGTAGTAATCTGGTAGCAATTATGAAGGATTTCCCTTGTCGCTGATGAAAAAACACTTGAAACAAATTTTTTAACGCAGAGGAAATCCTTCATTATGAGTTGCAGGGACCATTTGATTGGCCCATTTTAGATAAATATAGGCCGAATGTTTCGATTTCAACCCCATTTATCGTAATGAGACGAATCCATTGGCTTAGTGGTACGTCTTTTGAACACATGTAGGCCTTAGATTTCTCCTTAGCCCGCCTGAAACACACCATGCTTTGCATGCATTTCTATGGGTGAAGGAAAATTCATGCGCCGTGATGACGTCACGGTAAAGGAATTCTGAAGCTCGTGAACGGAATCGACTGGCCTTGCTAAGACCCACATTCACGCGTGCAGAGTTTCTACGTGAAATGCATAGCGCTTATGACAGTTATTCATTGTAACAAAGTATAAAGTAGGCATTCGGCGGAAAGTGAATGTCGGAAGTGTAAATCGAAAGTTATTAATCTTTATCCTGTGAGTTGGTGCATGTTCACACTCTCCAGCTTTGGTGTGCAGGGATGCGTTGAAAAACGCGAATAGACAATAGGGTGTCTCGAAAAATAAAGTTGACATGCCTATAGTCCAAAACATTTGCAATCGAGTCTGCTGGTTTCGAAAATCGCAATTAAAAAATTATGAGCCATTGTCTTCAACAAGCGCAGTCGCGATTTCCAAAAGCTTGCACCTACTTTTCGGGCGTTGCAGTCTCCATTGGTTTTGCTTGGTGTTAGTGGCAGTAATAATACGGTGGTTTTCACGAAAGTCTCAGGCAGAGTTCGTGGGCGAAGAGTTTAATCGTAGTTTCAGGTCGAAAGTTAATTGACTTTATTTAGTGTAGACGTTGTCGATACACTTTTTAAAGTCACGCCTGTAATGCGACCCTCGCTTCAGCGCAGCTAAACTCTGGACAAACCACGTCCGGCACCAGCCCATAATCTCAGTCGGAACTCGAACCAGACACGCTAGCGCCACAGACGCCTAGTCGACACTCGAGCCCCTCGAGCCCGACCGCGGCAGCAGCACAGTGATAACTTTCGTCTGCTCTAACCATAATCATAGTACCCACCCAAGCCACAATTGTGAGCCGTCTCGTGTCCAGAGCCTACTTGCCACTTGGCGAGGACGAGAACGACGCCCTCTGCCGCCTGGAGGCTTGGTGAGTTTCACCTCGAGGGGCTGCGGCCGCCAGTGTTGGTTGAACTCTCGTGATGGTGTCGACTGTCGATGTATGCATTGGTGGTGAAGTTCCTCATTTATTATCAGGCCATGGCAAAGCCCGGTCCAAGTACCCGTAACCAGACCGTGGCCCCGGTCCTGAATGTCCACCCAGCAGAGCTTCCTCCAGCTCTAATGGTCTCTTACACGGGCGGATCTGCAGGGAGGGGGCATTTAGGGCTATGCCCCCTCAAAGGCCTAAAGTGGCCTGTTTGCCCCCCCCCCCCCCAACGACAATGAACCATAGTTCAGTCAGTGCGTGGCCCAGGAGCCGAGTTAAACGGGGTGTTTTACCACCTCCCGGCCCGCAAAGGTTGCGCCAAGCACCGACCCGGAGCGGGTTAACGCGTCGACAAAAGCAATGTGAAGTGTTTATACAAAGTGATAGGTATAAAGGCATGGGTCGGGTGGGTTACCATTTCTATATTTTTTCTTTTTAATTAAAAAATGTTCATCGTGTCAGGGCTGTGACGAAAAATAAGTGGCCTAAATCCGATGAGAAAATAGGATTTGGGGGTACGCTAGGTTTGGCTCCTACATGAGTTACCCTCCCCACCCCACCCCCAAAAAAACGCAAATCTGGCAGGGGCGCGGGAACTACTTTCCGACTGGGGGGGCACACCATAATAGAGATTAACCTAGGGTACCCCCAAATCTAGTTTTCTCACCGGTTTTAGGCCACTTATTTTTCACCCCTCTGCTTTTTCAACAAAAAAAGAAAACATTTGCAAAAAAAGTGTGGTATTCCGTCTCAAAGCTGTGGGGGCACCGCCCCCACGGCCC